TTCTCTCTCTCTCTCTCTCTCTCTCTCTCTCTCTCTCTCTCTCTCTCTCGTTTTACCCTTTTCTATTCCTCAAATTGCGCTTTCCATTACCTCTTGCTGTCATCTGCAAAGACATAGCTATTGATATATCTATCTATATTTTGCAACACAGGGCCGAGTGGGAACAAGACACACATCGAAAGAAGGGGTCAGGAGAGGGAACAAGAAAAAAAAGTCGGAAAATATGAGGTATGAGTGGCAAATCACAAAAAAAGTGATGAAAAACGCATGGTAATGTAAAGCAATGTAGGACGCACACATTGAACACCGTTGATCTTTTCTTCCTCCGGCTGTTCTACTTGGACCGCGGTTTTGCTTGCTATTCACCAGCATTTCTTCCCCTTTCTCGCGTTCGCCTTCCGCAAAACCGAGCTTTCCCGATACACACATACCATACATGCCTGCTCTATCTTCGTCATTTACCACGTCGGGTCTCCGCTCCTCGTCCCGGACCCTCCCACATAATGCAAAATCATAGAGGAATATTAAGCGTTTATGTCCCTTAGCTAGGTGTACCTCCTTCTCTATACTTTTATTTCGCGATGCGCTCGTTATTATTTACTTCATTTGTCCGCCATCGTTACTACCTAAAGCGCCAAAAAATGAATGTCGCAAGAGTTGCTCCGCCGTTGGGCGCTGCTTCGGGTCACGCTCAAAGCACAGCTCAAGAAAGTTCATGAGTTTTGGGTCCAAGTCTTTTGGGATCTCCGTCGGCAACCCCGTGGAGTGCGCTATTTTGTACACCGCAGCCCACATGGAGTTACACTCGGGCCACGGGGGCTTTCCTGTGATCATTTCCACAACAGTGCAGCCGATTGACCAGATATCACTCTTCATGCCATACCCACCAGCCTCGCACTTGATCACCTCCGGTGCCATCCAGTATGGTGTCCCAACCATCGTCTGGCAACCGTGTGTTTTACTACACACGTCGTCAATGGCTTTGCTGCACCCAAAGTCCGCTACTTTAATGATCCCATCAAGCGAGACCAGAACGTTGTCACCCTTGATGTCGCGATGCACAATACCACAATTATGCAGGTACTTCACCCCGCAGACTATTTGATACGCCCACTGGCGTACCGTCGGTAGTGGAATTGTTTTAAATTTCTTTACAAACGTGTTGATTGATCCTCCACTCACAAGTTCCATAAATATGTTCAAGGTGTTTTTGCCTCTTTCCTCTTGGCAACCGTAATATTGCACAATATTGGGATGATGAAGTCGCTTCATTAATGAAATTTCATTTCGAAGCTTATCCATCTCCTCACGGTCAGTGAGAGAACCCAACTCAATCACCTTGCAGCACACTGTTCGCCCACTCACAAGAAGGGCCTCATAGACCGCCCCATAACTCCCTTTTCCGATAATTTTTATTTGCCGCCACCCTTCTAAATCCGCATCTGTAAGCATTAATCGACTCTGCCGCAAAGGTGTCTCCACAGGAATAGCTGTATGACCATTGGTGTATCCGTGTTCAGAGTGCGTTAGACTGTTTGTCATTAGGAGACTACCACTATAATTATTGATCCAGCCTGAAGGGTCGCTTACGTTGCTGGTGACGCTGCCCGTAGCATTTATATTATTGAAGTATTTTTTATCATCAGTAGGAAATTGGCCTCGCGACATCATGCGCAACTTTTGTGCATCTAAGGCCATCAACACAGCAGGGTCTATTTGTTCACCGAAAGGGTCCTCATCCGTAACGACAGCTTTGTGTACGGCCTGCTTCTGATCGTGTTCACCATTCACAAAAACCCCAGCTACCCAATCGCCGTTCGCCATCCATTCACACCCTTGTCCATGTTTAAGGCCTTCTTTAAATGATCCGATATATTTGGCGCCGTCCGCCCAAACATACTTTCCCTTACCATTAGGTTTTCCATTAGCAAATTCACCCTCATAGACATCACCTTCCGCATTAGTCATGACTCCCTTGCCTTCCTTCTCGTTGCGCACAAATTCGCCGTGATACACAATCCCGCTTTCTTCCGTGAGCTTACCCTCTCCATGGCGCATATTAGCGACCCACTCCCCTTCATACACGCTCCCGCAAGCATACTCCATCTTTCCAATACCCTGACGCATGTCGTCAACCCACTCTCCGGTGTAAACACCTGTAGCATCCTTTAAAACGCCAAAGCCGTTCTGTAGGCCATTCTTGTACTCACCCTCGTAGCAGTCACCGTCTGCCCAAGTGTACACACCTCGACCATTCATGGTGTCACCGAGCCATGTTCCCACATACGTATCGCCACTCGTCCAAACAGCCTTACCGTAACCAGACATGCGGCCATCCTCGTCGACGGTACCAATGTAGTAGCCCTCATCAAAGTCGATACGCGTCGGCTCTGCCTGCAGTGCAACACTTTGATCCTCATAAGGCCCCACTTGTTCCAGCCCCGAATCCATCTTCTGCACGTACACGGCCAAAAAATGAATCGAAGAGAGCTGCAGTCACAAACTCAATAATAGTAATAATATTTCCGTGGTTTAAGTGCTGTGGAATACGGACTCTAGATGGCCGTGCAGTGTGGGTACACACGCTAACACACTAAACGCAGAAGCGGAAGAAGGCAATCGTACTGCCTTTTGGTTCACGGGCTTACTCTTATCTTCCCCTCCTCGCTGCGCTTTAAACCAAAATAAAAAGAACAATAATAAAAAATGCCTTCCTGATCTATTTCCTCGCTTAAGCGGCCAACTATGATGACGGAGGCAGCTGCAGTCCCAGCCACCACCCTCTCGCTTCCTTTTCTAAACAACGCAACAAAGCCGTATACGGTTTGTGCAATGATAAACGAAAAAAAAAAGGGACAAACAGCAGCTGTATATCTGTGCTCGCACGTCCGCTGACAGCGGGGCCCAAAGAGGGAAAAAAAGCGCTGGCGAATGCAGTCGTTAACACAACTGCAGGTGAAAAAACCAACAACAAATGCACTAAAGAGCCATTTTTTCTCTTTACTTTTTCCCCTTTTCCCCTTCCCCACATCAGCCACGCCTTGAAAGGCATACATGCGCCGCTTTTCCACTGTACTGTTACTGTCCAGCTCAAATCAAATAAAAGAAATTTCCCTGCAGATGCGTCCTGAGATATATATATATATACATAAGACCGAAAAAAAAACCTGTGTG